ATCTCACCTCTATTTTCACGTCCAAAACAATCCCACCTTAAACACCCCCCAATCACTTTCCCTTTGGTGAACCTAGATCATGGGTAAGGTGACTCTCTTCATCACATCACTATCAACCATGGAAGGGAGGTCTCCATCAGGAAGGTTCTAATTTTCCTCAGTAGTCTTTAAAGGCTCCCAAGGTGCCCCCATTATAGGATCTCTTTCGCTGTCACCTAGCAAAGGTTTGTATACAATTGTTTATTTCAAACAGATGCAGAATTTAAACACACGTGCAAATATCAAAGCCAAGTAAAATAAATACATACAAAGCAAACAAAGTAAAGCCAAAAAATATTTTAATTATTATTCTTATTTTTCTAATTTCATCATTTATTTGGGTCTGACCCTCTTTAAGCCTCTCTAGCGGAGTCACCATCTATCGGAGCCTAAAAAATTCTGATCTCACCCACATATGGTTTAGACCTCCGTTTGAAAATCTCATCGATCAAGTAATGCACGGATACTAGACTAATCCTTGATTAATGGTTTTAAAAAATGGTTCGTGGGAGTCGTCACCGATGTTTTACTTAAAACAACGGAAAAAGAAAAGGGTTTTCGAAAACTGCCAACTTGGCCTTTACAACTGGAATTAGGGTCGGGGGTCGGTTACGTGTAGGGATGGTGTTAGGCACCTTATAATGCCTTAAATCGGTACCTTTATGATGAAACTAGCGAGATAGAGAATAATAGTTTAAATATTTGGTTCTTTTTATTAATGGTTATTTACATACTTTAAATTTAAATTACCCAACTTACCTAAGATGTCTACATGGTTGTCCTTTTTTAGTTATAGCAATATTTACAATAAAAGAACTAGAAAATGGAGAGGAATGATTGGTGGGAATACCTCTTGAATGAGCTTTTATAAAGGGTGCTTCAATGTGGTAGACTTGAGGCATCTTTTGGCTGCCTTGCACACTACAATTTGCCTTACAAATCTCAAGAAATACAAGGAGAGAGGAAAAATAAAATATTTGGACTATCTAAGACTCTAATAAACCAATTTTGTTCTGTTTCGGCTCCCTCAACACTATGTACGAGGTGTTTATTTATAAGCACAAAAATCAATCAGAACGACCATTCTGATTATCAGAATGGGCCGTTCCAAATTAATCTATTACAACAAAAATTTGAATTTGGAATGGCCAATTCTAAAAATGGAACGGCCCATTCCAAATTTAAAATTTGTATGTAACAAACTTGGTCAGAACGCAAAGTTTTTTAAGCTATTTCACTGGCTTGGAACGACCCGTTCCAAGTTACTAATATACCTTTTTGTTCCATTTAAACCTTTAATGTAATTTGGGTTCATTTTTGTGTTGGTCTGGGACCTTCGAAGTCTCCTGATCTAGTCTCCTTGGCTTCTTTATTTGATGTAACCACTCTAGATGAAATTAGCGGTCTATAGGAGACCACCATAGACTCTAAGAAAGTTAGAGCCCCTCTCCTACAGACTTGGCCTTCAGATCTCACTTGATCTACTTCGTTACATTTGAGAGTCTTTGTCTAGGAGATGCTCCCAAACCATGCTTCATTGAACATCTACCTTTTATGGAGCGTGTTCGTGTGAAGGTTGACCTCTTTAACCCACCTCGAGTGGATGATCAAACTCTAAACTTCCTAGGGAGGTAGCACCTGGAAATTCAAAGTCTACGAATGAATCTTGTTGTTGTGGAGCTCTCATATGGATCTTCTCTACGTTTGCCTACTGTGCTTGGCAAGCCATACAGGCCATGGATGATCTAGCCATGGATGAGGTTCTTCATTGAATCTACTCACACCAAGCCTACCACTCCAAATAATCTAAAAGGAAGGGAGAAGCTACCATAATACCTAAAGGATGTGCATTTTCTTTATTATAAGGTTTATCATACATCTCGGATACACTCTTTGAAGGATGACCATGTCTTCTACTCTCAAGTGTTAAGCAGAAGATTCATTGCTTATCCACTATGCTGAGTTGTACAATCTTCTTTAAATCAGATCGCAACATGCCCCAGGGTCTATAGATACTTTTCACCATATAAATTATCTTTTCATCTATTCTTGCTGGGCAACATCATTTTCTATTACAAGAAGATATTTCATCTGCCACCTTCCTCAAACACATCTATCGAACCTTCAAGCACCTGCCAACATCCCTCATCTCCTTCTCTCCTCTGTTGGCCATAGAAGAAGATCGTGATCGAGTCGTAGTTGGACTCTATTGGACTTTGCACTACATGCTCAAAAGACAAGCCAGACTTGAGTGCCAAGTCTAACGACAAGGATGTTGGCTCTCTAGTGTGCTTGCTCGTCTTAACATCCAACCAAGCTCTGATAAGGGTGATCATAATGACTTTTTAGACTATTTTTAGTATTTTTAAGTATTTTTAGTAGTTTAGGTTATTTTTATTAGTTTGTACATTATTTTCAATTTTTTATAGTACTTTATTAGTAATTTACATTCTTATGCTTTTCAATTTTTTTTTATCTTGGAACAATTTTTTGAGTATTTTACATTATGTTTACTTTATGACTTCATATTATTTATGCTTTACAAATTTGTCATCTTAAACAATTTTCTTCTGTCTATTTAAAACAATACATGCCTCACATATATCACATGTTTCATATATATTTGTCACAATAACATGCTCTCACGACTGCTTGAATATGACTTTATAACATGTATGTTTTTAAGGGGAGTCTCCCTACATAACTTATCTATCATGAATACGAGCTATAGAAATATCATGACAAAGAACCTATTAAATGCAAGTATGTACATTTGTAAGAAAATAATTGTACGTAGTTTCTTAATTTCTTAAGTCTATATATCATACTAAGTGCATTTGATTATATATTTTTAAAGATTCACTCCTCAACAACAAATTGCTTACGCATAAAAAGCTATGTCTTAGGTAATAAGGCTTACTATGTCTAAAAAAGAAAAAGGTTTCTGCTTAACATAAAATGTTTCAAAGCCAAAGAAAATATTTTTAAAAAAAATTCATATGTAAAATTGCTTTCGTCTAACAAAGACCAAAATTTTTTTACAAGACAAGAAAAATAAGTCTTCTTCGAAAATGTGTTTGTCAACATTAAAAAGGAGGAGATTTTTAAGTCAAAATTCGATCTTAGATCCCTCACTTTTTGTAAGTTTTAATGATAATAAACACTACATATTTTGGTAAGAAAACATTTTTGAAAAGTTGTTATTTCAAACTTGGTAAGATGAAGTAGCTTCTGTAAGACAAATCAAATCAAACGAAGCATAGAAACATGTATATCATGTTCTTAACATCTATTACTTATTATGACTTATGTATTTGAATTTTCAAATGAATACTTTATACCTTAACAGATCAAAAGTTGCTATCTTGGAACTCACATTCTGTTAAAGGTATATAAAGGCATGTAGAACATCAGAACAAAGGACAAAGATCCCAGATCTCACGGAAAAGGCACAGGAAAAGTACTACATTCTCACTACACATTGACTTTGCTTCCTACTATTCTCGTGTCTTGCTACTCTGCTCTGATAAGTAGCTTGATCTATCAAAGATAAAGAGTACGTATAGGTGAAAGACATTAATTGAAGCATTTAATGCACTAACGGATACTTCTTCTCTCTAGATCAGATGAAAGAGTAAGACAAAACATTTCTATGAATTAGACTCAAGAAGTTTCAATAGTCATCCTTTTTTAAGCTACTATATAAGAAGCTTTGTAACTCAAGAAAGATAGTGAGACATAAAAAGAACATGCACAACTCAAGAGAGAACCATATACATAGAAAGTCTTCTTAAAAAAATATCTTGCACCTAAACTTTTGTTGTAATCACGTCTAAAAGAGATGACAACTACAACCTTGTGATACCTTCATAACCATTGTTATAGGGTAGGGCCTAGAAAGGCTTGTTTGCAAAAGAATACTTGGGGTTAAGCTTAGAGAGGCTTATCTGTAAAAGGAATATTTGGGTAGTGGCTTGAAGAAGCTAGTCAAAGAACACTTGTGTTGAGCCAAAAGTGACTTGGTGAAAGAATACATGTAACTTTGTTGAAAGTTAGTGAAACTCAATCTAGTTGGATTGAGAACTAGACGTACCCTTAGCGATTGAGGTGAACCAGTATAAAAACTACTTGTGATTGATTACTCTTGTTAATGTTTCATTTGTTGTAGATATTACTTCACTTACTTGGAAACATGTGAGATTTTTATATATATTATTCAACCCCCTTTTAGTATCTATCTTTTCTCCACACATAATGCAAGAATGTTATTCTTGATTTTAAATAAGTTTCAAAGTTAAATGTGGGAAGCTTCACACAGGTTGTACCATTTCATTTAGGAAGTTTTGTATTTCCTTATAAGAAGGTGTATCTCAAAATTAAATTATATATTAAAATATTTTTTTAGTTCATGTAATGTACTATTTTTTTCATTTTGATCCTTATCATTTTTTAAAAAATAGTTCTTGTACCAAACAAGGTTTTTCAAAGGGATTAACACAAAAATGAACAAAATATTATAGGAAATGAAACAAAAAATAAATATAATACAATAACTAAAGTAAAATGGAAAGGAACAAAATAAATAAAATAAAGTTTATAAGAACTATTTCAAAAATTATAAAACTAAAATAAAAAACAAGTATATTGTATGATTAAAAATATATTATATAATATATCATTCCATGTGTTACTCATCAAAAAATAATAGCATCCACATGTGACCTAGGAATATAGGCTCATGCTTTTATGTAAATTTGGTTCTCAAAAAGAAAAAAAATATATATCAACAATAAAAAATAAATAACAACTACAAAAGTTTCTCAAGAGATAATAGGTCGATCTCTTCAAGTTAAAATAAAATAAGAAAGGAAATGGGACCCAACTTAAAGATCTACGTGTGCAAATAGGGAACGTATATTAGAGAAGGTTGGACAAGGACCAAGCATTTGGGAGAAATTAAGGCAAAAAGGGTGAATGCATTGCATTTTCTATTTCGCTCAATCAAGTGTAAATCTGGAGGAATAGGATGATGGAATCATCAAGTGGTGGAGGATCTGAGAGCGGTGAAGAGAAAGCGATATTTGAATACTTTGGGTGGGTTTATCACATCGGCATTAATTCTGTTGGTCGTGAGTACTGCCACCTCCGATTTCTTTTGGTCAGGGGCAAGTCCGTTGCCATGTACAAGCGTGATCCTAACGAGAACCCTGACATTGTATATTTCTTCTTTTCTCCTTTATTATTAATTTTTGTTGTTCCCCGCTTTAATTCACTTCATCACATCCAATTAATAAAAACATGTGTTGTTAGTATAATTAAGATTTCTTAATCATGAACCAATGAAAAACATATTAGGGATATAAAAAGTTAGCATCTATAATAATTTGGGTCAATGCATTTAAATTCAACTCTACATTTTAAACCTCTTCATTATAAAATATTATGTAATATCAAATTATCACATGATATCTGCATGTACGTATTTATGATAAATGTTGTCAATATATTGCCTAATATGTTCTTTTAAATATGTTATGTTTCATTTCGTATTTAACGAGTCTCCCTAAATTTTGTAGATTTCAATAAATGTTAATTCATAGTAGAAATAGTAAAATATATATTATAAAGAAAACATTAGAAAATAAGTTATTTGTATGTTTGTTTATATGCATTCATGTTGAACTTGGTCACTTCAAATGTTTTGCAATTCTTGAGTAAATGTGTAATTTGGTCTAAATATTTTACTTGTGTTACTTTAGTCTCGAAAGACTTAGTCGATACATACTAGCCTTCGACATTGTCAACTTATTAACAAATTTATTGTATTGACACTACAATAAATTTTACACACAATAACATACAAAAAGTGTAACTATAGATACAATATATGTAGGGTTAAATTTATATGACATATACTTACACACAATTTTAATATTAATTTTTAATGAGATTCAATAATGTATAATATGTGTTACTATAACTTATACCTTTAGTGACAAATAATGTCTATTTATAGGTAAAAGTAGCTTTTAGTGACAAATATTGTGCCATTACATGACAATTTATTTTGTAGCATGAGTAATTAAATCACCTTACTGAATTTGTCCGCTTGTTATTACTAAGAAGTTTATCACTTAGGAAGCCAATTTATATAGATGAACTTTATAGATCAAATCAATACAAGTGACATATTTCATTGTCCTTATATTTTACACATTATATTTGAATGATTTTATGTTTTTCCTTATATAAATTGTATATTTAATATATTTTGTGTATCATTTTTAGTTTTATGTAATGTTTAGTTACATCACATTAAAACTCCATTCATCCTTTGTTCAGAAACCACTTAGACAAGGAGTTATAGGTGCCACACTAGTAGTGGAGGATCTAGGATGTCGAAAATTCAACAATGGGGTAAAACACTAATACTTTCTTATCTTGTATTTAATAAATTTACTGATTTTGCATTGAGTTGATGGTGTATTCTTCTAGGATAATATATTAGTTATAACTAGCTTTTTTTGTGATTTTAAGATATATATGTTTCATTTCATAGTACATCTTATGGAAGCTAAATATTTTTCATTCTTTTCCTTAGGATCTCCATGTAATACGATTCTACAGTCGATTAAATGAGTGCAGAAAAGGAGAAGTAAGTTATAGTTTTGAATTGCTTCTATTAATGACTATTGATAGACATTTACTAGTCATATAACATTTTTAATAGGTGTAATAGGTCATAAGAATTTAAGGTAGCCCTTAACTAATACTTGTTCCTATAGACCACCAAATTTAAAACAAGAAATATGTTCCAAATTTTTACATGGCATAAAATAAACTAATATTTTTTGTTTTCAATCATCTACAAATAGAGATTAGAGATTTTCCCTTAGGATTTTGCATGATTTTGACTATTTTTGATATCCTTTTCTATAAATTGATATATTTGACCTCATTATCTATTAACAAATTAATAAATCAAGTTACACTTCTTTTTCCTTAACACTTTTCAAACTTCAATAGGTTTATTGCCCCTTTCCAATTGTTATACTGTATAACTCAAGTTATCTAATGTTTCATTTAACTTTAATTCTCAAATTTTGTGACAAAAGTATAATTTTGAACTTTTAATCATACTCTTTAGTGGCTAAACTTAGTGATTAAACTCTCTAACTCATGTTAATTTGTACATTTTTTTTATCGAATGTCCTATAGAAATAAGTAAGAAGTAATAACTAATCTACCTTCCTTGATATTTTGTTTAATTACAATAATATTAATTTCTATTTTCATTTCCTACTACCTCTTTTCTAACATAACCATTTAAATTCTTTATTAAGAAAAGATTTTCTACAAGTGGAATTTTTTGAACTACCTTTTATATCTTTCCAAAATTTTACATTGTGTTCTTATAATCTTACCTCAAGTACACACATATGATATTGATATTTTTGTTCAAAAAAATTATAATTACAATATTATTTCCATTACTTTTAACCTTGATCATATTGCCTTCCAAGTTTTGTTCATAGTAATGCACACCTTATTTATTGTTCTAGCTTAAAATTGTAAGATATCTAGCCTTTCGTGCAACCCACACCTAATCTCTTGAATAAAGTTTCACATAACAATCTCAAATGCTTCAATTAATTCACCCAAGAGAGATTCAATTTTTCATGTATCAAAATAAATCTCACTTTCATTTATTAACTTCTTTTCCTACATTTGTCTTGAAAAGTTTGAGATCTATCTATTTTGAAGTAGATATTGGCACCAATGTAGCACTTCTACCTCCTTTAACACTTTTCTTAAGCCCTAAATGTGTTAGGGTAACAACTAGTATTTAACTATATCATAAAGATTTAGCAAAGGTTTATATTGAGCATTGACTATCTGACACCACCCTTCTTAAGTGAAAAAAAGAAGAAAAAAAATATCATAAGCTAATATAAGAGATAATACAACTAATAAAATTTTTAGGCTTTTATTTGTTCAATAGTCTTATATATATATATATATATATATATATATATATGAACAATTCAAACATATGCGAAATGCTTTTGGCTCATAAATGAAAATTTATTCTTTAGATAGATTAAATTAATGTTTCTAACTTTTATTATTTATTTTTAAAGTTACAATTCTTTCAACAATTTGGGATTTTCATGTTTGGAAATATTTGTCTTTTAATTCTATGTTGATGCATCCCATATAAGACTTTATTTCTTTCTTTGTTTTGTTTTTAACTTCAATAAAATTATTATCTATTTTAAACTTTTCAATATATAAGTTTTTCATATCTAAGAAGATTATTGATTGTCTCTATTTTATATTAATAAATTAGCATGAACCTTTTAACCAAAGTTGAACATATATTATCAAGTGCTTTTTTGTTGCTTCACTATCATGGTAACACTAACATGTAGAAGTAATATTTACTATCTACAAAAATAATGGATCTATTTGGAAAAACTTCTTTATAAACATTTTTAGGAAAAAAAATAAGAAAAAAAAATGAAATGAGCTTTTCTATAAGCTAAAACTAGTTTATACAAATGTTTCAAGTAAATTTTTGGAGAAGATATATGAAAAAGCTTTTACAAATTAGTTTATACATAAATTTAATTTAATTTATGAAGAAACTTATTTCATTTTTCACTCTACCTATTTTTCTCCTAAAAACATTTATGGAGATGTTTATCCAAACAAGTCCAATATTTATTATTAATTAACATTTAGCTACAAATTTGTAATAGTACAATAAAGTACCAAAAATATAGAAAAAGAGTAACACTAGGGTGTTTAATAGATAAATATTTTCTTGATCTTTTCTATTTGGTACAACACTAATGGATAACACTATTTTCTAAGAAACTTTCATATGTTTAACCAAAATATTTTATTTGCTTACACATGTTATAAAATTCACAACTCATTTATTGTAAATTATTTTTCCTATCTCACTACTTTTATAGGTTGAATGCTGGTGTTTTAATGGCAACAACATACAATTGAATTTATTATTGATTTGTTATTTAGAGTAATGTTAAACAATAAAAGTTTTTAAAAAAATTGAACATGAATTTTAAATGAACTAAGGATGACTAGTCGATAAGCCAACATTGTGGAGATCACATTTATTTAATGGTCAATAACAATGACATCATCTTTTGGCAAAATTATGCTTATCTTATATTTTCCTTATTTTTTCAATAGATTTCCATAATAAAAACATGTTATAAAAACTAGTAATTGAATTTTTTATTGTAAGATTTAGTGGTGGTCTCTATATTGAAGAGTTTATTTATTTGAAACTAAGTATAACTTTTAATATCTTAGGTGTTAGTTTCAAAAAAAAAATTTAAAATTTAATTTTTATTTTTTTAAATTAACTTTTAACCCTTTATTAATTTACTGTCATATAAATTAGTTTTTTAAGATTAGGTCTTATTTGTATTAATAACATATGTCTGACTTTTATTAATATTCACTATGTCATCTTAATAAATGTTAAATCATTTGTCAATTTTTAGTTATTTTTATTAATTTTATGTCACAAATTAATTCTTAAGGTTAAGTCTCATTCATTATGCACATATAATTTTATTATCGTTCATGGTCAAGTTATTTTATTTTAGAAACATCTTTTATTTTAAAAAAATGTTTTATTATAAGTAAATATATTCGTTACATGTTTTTACATAATTTTTCTTCAAGATTGCGTGTGCCACAGCTGAGGAAGCCCAAAAATGGATAGAAGCATTTGATCATGCCAGGCAACAGGTATGAGAAAATAACTATAAGGTTGCTTTTATAAGATGATTATTTAATATGTTATTAGCTTTAATAATCCATAAGCAACTCATGGCATACAATAATCACCAATTTAATCTGTTTGAAAACAATACACAAAGCAATTCAAACATTCACCAACATCATACCATACAACAAGGTAATCATCAAGTATATATGAATAATGATTAACTCAACCCATATCACATGTATACACACCACAACTAATGCATCGTCACGCATTCACCTACAGATATCTCCTAACTCACCAGAGTAGTCTAAGTGACTTGACCCTATTAAATCAATCCAATCGTTTTCACGTCAAAATGTGCCCACTCAATCATAACTAAAATGGGATACCAATACCTAACCTTTGATTTCTCGAGTGTCGCCACTTATACTAAGAAAGTCTAATTCCACCATCAAGAATAGTATACCTCGGTATAGGCATACCACAACCTTGACATGCATTACCAAGTCACATATGGAGTTAGCCCACTAACTATCTGTAAGGAACCACGTAATCTTTCTAATAATTAGTTAAGGATTGTAGCCCTTAACTTCATACTTTACACCACATTGACAAAGGACCTAGAGAAGACTTAACAAAATCCAGTCCAAGAGTTTCACATCCACTCAAGGAAGTTTTCAAATATAGGCCTCCCAAAGTGCCAAAACAAGATTCCCTATATGGCATCTTCACTTTCTAAACAATATCATCTCCTCTAGTCCTAAGTCTAAGTCAATCAACATGCTTTAATGCTCGCAACATTATTAACATCAATACATCAACATACATCTTTTATATACATTATCCCAAGTCAATGCATATAGAGATCAAATCACACCAATTATTTATAGCATACCAATGCTCAACACCTCAACCAATAATAGCATACCCATGCTTAAAAATTCATCCAAGCATAGCATACCAATTTTCAACAATTTGTTCAATAATAGCACACCAATGCTTATTCAACACTCCAACCATGCAATTTATAACAATTTAATCATACATAATATATCAATGTCTACACACCACTCCAACCACGCAAACTTTAGCACATTTCTCACATATAGCATATCCATTCTAGACAACTTGATCATAATAGCATATCAATGTGTGTCGTCGTCATCATACATCATACAACATGTATCAACATACAACTTACCAAAATCAACTATAGTACAAAGGCAGCCTTCACACAACTCAATACAATTGGAGTTCTACTAATCTGGTCAAACTCATATTTATCTAATATGAAAGATAAGAAGATTATCTACAAACCTTATGAAGTCCTCAAGTTCTAACTCCATCCTCTACTATAGTCAAAATAACAAAAACCACAACAATTTGCCTAAATGTTGACAGTTTAACCTTTGCTCACTAAAAAGTTCATAACTGGAGTTCTAGATCTCCTTTTTAGGCGATTCCGAAGCCATTGGAAAGATAATATCTAGGACTGCAATTTTTATATGGAAAACAAAGTCTACATCGGAAAGAAAAAAATGCACAGCCATTTCAAAATTGCTAAGCGGATTTCTTCCATAAACATACCTAATTCTAATCTACAATTTCACTCAATCATTTCAAAATGGCTCAATCGTTTTATGATAGAGACCATCTCTATTTTTTACAATTTTAGGGTTTCCAAAACTCTCCATTCCATCGCAAGCTTTCTACAAGCTCCAATCTCAATTCTAAACCATAAAAACTCATCTAATCAATCAAAATGCCTCAAATTCCAACAACAAAACAACTCATAACAAGAAATTGGGTGAAAAATCAAGGTTCCCCCAAGTACCACAAAAATCCCCAAGAAACTAAGAACACCAAGTCTCCTTCAAATCAATTTAACATTCAAACAACTATGCATCAATGAACATTCATACCATACATGCAACATGAAAATCCACACAATCATCCACCAAGATCAAATCCTAGCTCCTTTTACCTTGGTTCCGAGCTATCCATGGTGGAAGAAAAGAGAAAGAGAGGAGAAGAAGAAGAAGAAGGGAGTTAGTTTTCCAATGTTACAAGAATTATTAAATTTTATTGAGAGAATATTAGGGTAAAATCTCAATGTTATAGAACATGATTTTGTTGAATGAAACTGGGAACAATCCCTTTAAAACTAATACATTTTAGATAATTTGAGGGGTTAGAATCCAATCCTTACATTGTTTTATTAGTCATAAGAGTCCCCAAAACTATTTATAATTATTAATTGTTTTACATATAGGCCGATACTAGTATGCTAATATAAAACACCCTTGATTTGTTCCCCTTCTTTCTAGTATAACTAAATAATGTGTATTTATCACTTCTCTCTCTCCCCCTCCTAGGTTTCACCTTGTCCTCAAGAAAAACAACTCCTAGTTACTTGAATGAAATCTCATTGGTTTTTAAGATTTTGAAACATGATTACGAAGCCAACTAGACCACTACGACATAAATTAACTTCCAATCTCCAAGACCAAACACAAACAACTAAGAGCCTTCAATCTCCTTCAGTGCTTTATCCATTTTGACTTTTCTCTGCCATGATGATTCTTTTCTTGGATCTTGATCCCTAAAGTTTCATTTTCACTATTATTTTCTTCCTCCAACCTGAAGTATTTCTCACACGTGACTATCCATTAGTGATACCCATTTCCACAATTCCATTAAAAGATGGAAACAAAATATTAGTAGGTTTTGCCAACCACCTGTTGACCGGTTACTTTTTCATCAACCTTAGGCTTATGTGATAGTTTTATAGGTTCAAGATAGCATGTTTTTGCTAATATTTCTTTCTCCATCTCCTTCAAATATTCTAATTCTTAGCTATCGTTGTTTCAATTTGAATCTTACATCAAGTGTTGCACCTCATCTTTGGTGTTGAATGTCTTCACTTTAGCCTTAAGCTCTTAGTTAGATACCATAATGAACCTTCCAATCTTCCACAATTTATAACAAAAAAGTATTCCAAAGTCAATCATAAATGCACCCATACACTAGTAGAAAAATGCAAATCAGGGTTGGCTTTTGATTTCTTTTTTCTTTATTTGAAACCAAATACCTTTTAATATACTAGTTTGTCTACAATCTCTTATGTTTAGTTTCTTTCTAATACCCTCATCTCTTCATTCATAGCTCACAACCAGTTCCCATCCTTTAAGACCTCTTAAATAAGTTGGAAATTTTGATTACATTAATGGCTGCAAAATAAAATTTGATGTTGTGCTAAAAGATAATCAATACATATAAATTGAGATATAAATTCATGACATATAATTGTTTTCCTCCCTTTAAGGAAATTAACAAGTCATCAATAACATTTATAGGAATAAGAATACTTAATTTTGGATCAAACAACTAAACTTATTATAGGACTTTAGTAGTTAGCTTTCTTTTGTCTTAGCTAAATATTTTGATAGAATCAGTCTACCTATCATGCTTTGCCTATTGTTTCCTTATTAATAACTTCTTTGAGAGTGAAGTCTGGAACATCTTGCATAGTGAGATAAGGTAATGACTCGATAATAAACCTAGTTTATAGACTAATTTTCCCTTAAAGCTAAAGGCAAGTGTGATAGAGCTCAATTTCATGAAAGGTGATATTCATAAAGAGATATACACAACAACTTTGAAGGTGATAATAGTTTTTTTTTAGAATAACCAATGAAAACACATTTAACAACTTGTGGATCTAACTTTCATTACAGTTAACCATGGTTTAAAAAATCATTTTGGAATTCCAATATGGTCCACAAAACACACAATATCTGAGCATGATGATACTATTGTTATGACACCATTGCTCCTCAATACATTTATTAAGTTGCACTTTATAGAAAAGAGGGATTCAAATTCTTTGCAAAATAAAGATAAAATACTACTTAACCTTTATAATTCACCACAAGTAAAGAACGTCACATCAACAACTATAACAAAACAAGACTTTTAAGGGTTTTACCAAATTAAAAGGTTTTTGGAATTCCAAAGGCCAATAAAATTCAAACCATTATTTATAATCTCACAAGTAATTATAATAAAAATGATGGAAAACAAACATTAAAACCAAATCCTAGTGTCACACTTATTAATGCAAAATAACTCAATTTCCTTAACTCCAAGATTACTTTTTTATATCCTACTAGACATCATCTAAAAATCAAGCAATACACATGAAAAAACAACAAAAGGAAAAAAAAATGGGATATATCTCATGTCATGCTAAAATTTTAACATTACAAATGGATAGAACACGCATACACCAACACACATAATTAACATCCAATTAAGCACAATACTACTAAATTATCATATGAATATAAAATGTACATGCAATGCCATGTTGCTTGAACTTTACTTCATATGATGTTGTGCTAATTCGAGAAGTAATATAGGATAACATACTTAGCCATAAAGAAGCATGATTGACTTACTAACACCTTTGACTTTTTCCACATTGCATTAAGATGATGTTATCTAGTGATTAGTCAAAATTACCCAACTTTGTTAGTCCCAAGGCTCACCAAGAAGGGGAAAGGGTTGAATTGGTGTTTAAAAATCTTTAAGAAATCAAAACTTGCACAACACAACTAAATTTAGCCCTTACTTATGAACTCAAAAATTACTTCTAGAAAACTTAGTTCTTGAAAAATAGTTTCTTGATCTTTATAATATTCTCTTTTCACACAAGCACAAAGACAAAGTCCTCTACTTTTAATCACACAAGAAAATGTACTACAATTTCAAGAACATATACAGTATCTATAATTAACACAAGATTATAAGCATAGAGAGAAGGGTGAGATTCACACAATTTATATTGATTCGCTTTCCACTAAAAACTACATCCAATCTTTTACGATCAACCCTTCATCTTAGGTAATCCACTATAAACCAAAGTATGATTACAAACAAGTTTTGTTGATCAACACTATATCTTAAGACATCACTATAATTCCCTCCAGGAACCCTTTTTCCAAAACCCTAAATAGAG